ATTCTTGTAGTCTATTGTTGAAATTCTCAGTTAATTAAATAGAAAATTAATGTATATCATGCTCATGTTTTCTATATGGGTGAATTGCAAAATTATTGTACCGTTTTGAGAAAAAAATCGACAAAAAAAAATTTCCGTTTTTAGAGATTGTGAGTAGTGCATCTTAGTCCACTATATGAGAGAAGACTATGTATAAATTTTCTCAACTACCACTCTTAGATTAGTCGAGCTGCAAGAGTTTTTAAAAATACATGGTAACACCCCAAATGTGAGTTTTTCATATATTTGAATAAACTCGTTAAACTACGAATTTATTCAGATATATTTATAATACTTCCGATTATACGTAGAGAGAGCTTTGTATATGTAGTGGCGTATATAAATCTGCTATTTAAAATAGGCTACCTCTCGACTTCATGAATCTAATACTGTATTATAAATGTTGTATTGCAGCCCAGGTAGCTTCAAACATGTGATTAGTATCATCAGATATTGAATCAAAACTAAAACAATCATTTTTCTTCCATACATAACCACTTAAAATTGAGATGTGTTGTTCGTAATAGTATGCCGCTAAAAGAAATCTTACCGCTTTTGTTTATAATAAATCTTTGAAGCAGTAAATCATGTAATACAATCAACAGAACACGATTCCATTCTGATACTAAGGGCATCTAAGCTTTAACATTGGAAGGGAGTAGTCAATTACTCACCTTTTTCTTGTCGCGCTTGTTTCAGTTTGAAGTTTTCGGACCAATCTAAATGTATTGTAATTGTATCTTCCTGTTCCATAGCTATCTGTCCTGCTTCTTTTGCAGCTCGAAATTGTTGATGTACACGATTAATATGTGATACCAAATCCTAAACATGATGAAAAATTTATTGTTTATCATTGTAAAATAAATGCGTATATGATTCTTCTCATCCTAAAGTTCCGCTCGCACAATACGAAACATATCTAGTAGAGTTAAAATGTCATCATACGACAAATAATATTTATGATTAAACTCTATGCACATACATTGATTTCCTTTGAAAATTTCGTTATAAAATCAACAATAGATGATGTAAATGTTGTTTTTGTTGACACAGGTACATTAGATTTATTATATTTTTTCTTTATCCATTCAGTATATGTAATATTAAATTGTTCATCTTTAAGTTTAACCAAATTATCCAAAAAATCTTTTGTTTTGATTTCATCTGTAACAAAATCTGTTATATCAGTTACACCATCAGGAAGTAATGTCTTGAGAACTGTATATAGAAATTTTGTACGTTGTAACTTTTCCAGCTTCATTTGTGGACTAAGGCAAACAATGCACAAACAAGTACCCCAATCATTAGTACTTGGCTTCAGCACATAATCTGGAATATAAGGTGTGAATGTAGAATAATGACAATTGTTACCAGTTTCGAATATAAATCGTTGATGAATAGTTGATAAATGATTCAGCAGGTATCTAATTTGTTTTCCATTCAAATGTTTCTTTTTATCAGGTGCTTGTTTAGTAACATCATCTTGACATAGAAATTCTTCTATATCTTTTTGCAGTGTTGATGATGTATTAGATGGAGAAGAATAATCATTCGATAAGTTAATACCTAATTTTTGTCTTAATTTAGAAACAGAACCACGCGGTAATTCTTCTTTTTTATCGATTAGTCGTTTAGTTGCACGTGTTTTTGCTCGTGGACTAATATTATTAATAAATAATTTTGCTGGTGATACGGTTGGTGTTACATCATTTGTTTCAATATCTTCTGAATGCTGTTGAGACAAAATTTTCTTCAACTTCGAATTTTCTTTACGTAATACTTTTATTTCATTAGATAATTTTTCGCTTTGGTTTTTCAATTTTCTTGTATAAGCTCGACGACGTCGAACACCTTCAGCTTTTCGTAAGATTGTTCTGTCTGTTGGTGGTTCAGTTGCATTTGATGGTGCTTCAGTAGCAGTCGTTGTTGATTCAGTAGCATTTGTTGGTGTTTGTTGTGCTGCCTTCTTCAGTCGTCTACATTTTTGTTGTCCGGCATTCTGTTTTTGAATATATTCAGAATTAAATGATTTCGATTTAGAACGTTTGTATTGTAATTTTTGATAGTACTTCAGATCATAATCTTGATGCTTTTTCTTGACATAAGAAACCATGGTTTATCTAGAACTAGCAGCTAAAATATGATAATTTATTCTAAATTACATTTTTGTTTTGAAATTTATACTATTAAGTTTTCAAAGCAGTGACAAGTACATATTATGCTCTTTTACCGCACTTTTATTAACCTGTGAGAAATGAGTTAGAGTTAGTTCGTATGAGTCGTGATAGCCATTTAAACATGAAAGCTAGAAATATGACCTTTATACGCTTTAATCATAGTTACGAGATAATTATCTGCATAAAAATCTAATCTGACAGTTTTTTTCAAAAATCTCGTGTGACAAGCAGGCAGAAATCTCGTGTGACAAGCAGGCAGAAATCTCGTGTGACATTTTTACACTGTTTTCCTCTCTATTATGCGAAAGGAACATTTTCTAACCGTGATATTTTCAGCAATATCTGACCACAACTAGAAGATAAAATGATAAAAATTTCAGCTCAATCTGCCTTAATTTACAAGAGTTAATACGGCACACAAAGTATCAAATCTCGTGTGACATTTAGTGTCACAACTATATTTTCAAATTTTATATAATGTCCCTTTCTTAACAAGAATAAGTAAAACTTTCGAATCGTCTTTGGTAGTTTTATCTCCCACTGATAAGCTTTCATTCAAAATCAATCCGACAAATTTTGAATGCTTTGTTATATAGCAAAGGCGTTTTTAAATCTCGTGTGACACTATATTGACCATTGACGGTACATCTGATATTCGGAAACAAATATAACATAAACTGCGATGAAAGAACCAGCCAGTCTCATATCCATGGTGTATACACTGTCCACTGTAAATGTCAACAACTGTCAAAATTCAGGGGCAAGAAACCAATCAGTGATGGGTCATTTTCTGTTCATAGGTGGCAGTAGAAATCAGCCATTTTAACCTTGTGTATGCAGTATCTCGGGATAGGCTAATGATAAATTCCTGACTTTTTATGTGGTAGTGAGCAACAACTACGGAAGCATACTCCGAAATTTTCATAAAGATTGGCCAAGAGAAACTGGAGTTATTAAAGTTTTACATATGGAACTACGAACGGTACAACAAAGTTGCAATTCACCCATATACTCAAATCCTGAGTATCATAAAATTCGAATATCTACCTCTAGACTAACCAAGGGCCGCTAATATTTTAACCCTGTTAGTTTGGCGACGAGAGCTTTCATTTGATACCAATATGAGCCGTTTTCGTGAGGGACAGTACAAAGACCTCCATTGTAAGAAGTATTTTTGGAATGAAGTGCGAGAACAGTTGCGCTGCGCGTGCACAATATTTGAATAGAACATGTGACGGAAAACATCACGCAAAGAATTCAGATTCACTCCATTCGAAATAGATTTGAATGAAATAAAATGAGTTTTTCTGCTGTTATGTGTCCTTATCTGTGTACATTGACGTGTCTAAATTTATTCGGGTATATTAGCATCAACTGTCTAATCCGATGACTACTTTGAGTAAGAGCGTTACTTAAGTGGCGTATTATGGCTATAGATCTGATCAAATATAATTTATCTTAATCTAGAAGTCCAGTTAAACTCGTATTTTGGTAGCCGACGCTAGCAAATGACATTGTTGGTTGGTGTACTAGTAACTATACGAATCATTATTGAAGTTTTTAATATGCATGGTGCGTTTCCACGCTAGTCTCGCGGATGTGTTTGTTTTGGTAATCCTCTCAGTAAATTGAATATAATCTCTTTTCTCTGAGCGTGTGGATACTGCTACCTTAGTGTGTTTCATTTAGATATCCGTTGGGTATTGCATTGTTGGTATCGGTTTGATTGGATGAATTTATGACAAAAAGTGTCACACAGACACCCATAGCATTGTGCACGACGACACTGATACGAATATAAATATCCACTCTCACACGTAACCTTGTTCAAACGTTGGATACTAGTTGTGTTGAGCATTGTAAAGCAGTATATAATACTGAAATAGTCAAATATTCAGTTGAGGTCAAGCAAGTCACATAGGTGAGCATTATTTGTGGTAACTTCGTTGTTGGTCAACAAATTATCATCGAAAAATTTTCATGGACACGACACTTCATCGATGAGCATTGCATCGAAAAAGTTTTGTCGACACAGCATTTTGTCAAAAGAGACTTTGGTTGGCAAAGCACTTCATCAAGAAACTCAGACGAAACACAGATGATTATAACATAATCAACTTGGTTTTATTGGAAAACATACTTCGTATAACATAAATATTATACGATAAGTTTATTGAGAAACACACAAACAAATACAGAAGAGTATAAATACCAACATCAAGAAAAATATATGAATAGAAAAAAAGAACATAAATTTTGCTTTCTATGTTTTTGCAACTAAAAATTAAAAGAGCTGGAAGGTATTGAATGAGCGTAATTTCTTTTTCGATGTATTGAACAGTTAAATTTTCTAAGCATTCTTCTATTCGGCAAATTTTTTTCGGGTCTTCCTTTTGGCCTATCATCACATGTTGAACAGTTTGGTTCAACGACGATCTGACTCTTTTCCATCGTTACGAGACAAACAAAATTAGGAGACACGTTGGAACTTTTGTCTTGACGATGAAAAAAACGAGTAGAAGAAGATAATTATCTTTCGACAAAATGTTCCGTCGAAAAAGTGTTCTTCAACAAAAATTTCTCGACGAAATACTTTTCTACAAAAGTTTTTCAACAAAATACTTTCGGCAGAGTTACGTCGACGACATGCTTTTCGACAAAAGTGTCATCCGACAAAAAACATAGGATTTCTATGTACTGTTACAATGAGCGCAGAAAGAGGACGAAAAACAGGTATCTTAAATTCCATCGTGCTTCACAGTAATGTTGCAATAAACTTCAGTTTCGTAGCTGTATCTGTTACAATCTGTGATGGGAGGTGACATTGCTATGGTATCTGTGAGGGTAAAATGGTTATGTCTGTCACGATCTTTGATGTTTGCATGGTAATGGCGATCACGCTCTGTGGCAGAGGAGGTGGGTCGAAATTTCTACCCCTATACTTCAACATTCCTTCAAAAATGTAGTGAAACACTCAAAAATAGAGAGAAAAAGGGGTCAGAAAACCGAACTGAACCAGACTTTTGAGCATGCACCGAGACCTATCTAGTGGAAGTAGTGTCAAACAGAAAACGGTACGACGTCTCGAAAGTTTTTCTAGTAAGCCGATCACTCGCGATATTTTGAACAAAAAAGTAATCGAGATAGAGCTGCTGCGAAAGTCAAAAAGCGGCGTATTGAACAATTCATCCAATCTCCTAGTAACTTATGGTTCTTCAGAAAAAAGTAAGCACTTGATCGTGTTTTGCTACGGAAATGAAGTTTTTGTGGAACACGATTGAAAAGAAGTGTTGAAGTATATAGCGAGAAAGTTTGGACCCACTATCCTTCCCCACAGACGGTGACAGGCATGGTACGAAAATTGACCTCGACCATCACAGACCGTGACGAGAAACATAATTTACGAGGCGGGGAGGGAAGCAAGATTTGCACCCCCTAGTTTTTTAGATTGATTTATTTTGTGACTGCCTGCAGAAATTGCTAATTTAAGTCCGGAATCGCGACAGACATTCTAGCAGCAGTGATAACTGTCATTACCTATATTCCCTGATTCTCATGAACTCGACGTCTTGGTGAATGTTTTTCGAAATTTAAATAATTTAAATGCTTAGAAATCCATATTTCTCTTTCTCTTCGGGTGACGTCTTTCAGGATAACCAGCTGTATCGTATTTCACATTTTAATCTCGTAAAGATTGTGCCGAAAGCTTTTTTATAAGTGGACAGCTCGAGAAGTGCTCAAGGCAACTCTGAGTGGAGAATTGAGCTTAGAAGGAGAACTGTACTATAACTTACTGAAGGATTCACTTCTTTTTCAAGCATTTGTGATACTCAGTCAGATTATACCTGGATCAGCTACCCTTTAAAAAAAGGTAGAGTAAAGAACGAAAAAAAGGTTTTAGAGCTTGCAACTACTCATGAACCCTGCAAACCGTTTCAGAAAAATTCTAAAAACCCCTTTATATACCTTTTCTCATGCCTCAGTTGTCTCATTCTGAAACCTTTTTTGAAGGGTTAATTATGCCGTTTTCTATTTTCTTAAACCCATAAGAGTTTGCTATTAGTTGCAAATTCTCGAACCCTCCTCTGAGGGTTTATTCCTTCGCATCAATCGATAGAAATTTTTCATTTTTTTTTCTATTTCGCCAAATAAATAATTTGAGGTTGAGACCATTAAGCCGCTTCGATAATCCATACCTTCCAATTATTTGACACTCATTCATATTTGAAAGCAGATGAAGTCATATCAAAGAATTTATATAGAATTCTTCAGCTAACTAGATCAAACATGAATTCCAAACTGCGGATCTTAGAAAATAAGTAGAGTTAAATTAGGAAAAAAAAATTCTACTCACTTTTCGATCGATCAGCTGGAATGAATAATGACTGAACAGAATCAATCTGCATATGAAAAGAAACTATTTTCAGGCGTCAGCAATCGTTTCAACTCACTTCGTCATGGATTTCTTCGACTGAAGATGGATCGCAATTGATCTAAACATGCAAAGAATTCAGACTGATATAGAAGGAAATATTTCATCTTACCTTTTTCATTGACATGTTCCGTTGAAAATTAGTCAATATTGATCTAGAAATGAAAACAAATTACAGTGGCTCGGAAAGAAAGAGCTTCTCAATATCTGAACGATATTGTTTTTAATACTCATGTATTCAAGCTCTGTTTGTTTTTTCAATATACTCTTCGTTGAATCCTCTATAAAATGCTGTTTTTTGTCAACCTAAATACACCTAACTGTTCCGACAGCACGCTTCAGATGAATCATTCCAAATCAGTATTTTTGTAAAAAGCACGTCTTGTCAGTTTTTAGACTACAGATATTTTCATTCTTGAAGAAGAGCATTTCCCAAAGCTACGCTTTTTCATTCAATAGAATAAACGAGGCTATCCTAAATGAAGACTCCAACAAGTCTAAATA